ATAGATACAGATATCTATAAGTAAAAGTTTCATAGTATTTCAGATTTTTGAATGATGTATACATGTGTATACTCTGAAATTAATTCAAAAGTGAAATTCAAGAATTTTTTGGGGCAAAATGGACGATAAGAGTCCCCTGTTAAAATAGGGATGCTTGAGTGGATTTGCAGTTTCAACTAACTGGTCTATAGCATGTAAGGCATCCCACTTTGGTCATTGAATTTTTATGCCCGCAAATGTCATTACATTTTGTTTTACAGGGAGTGTTTCACACTTATTTATTATTGCATTGGGGGTTGGGAAAATAATGAAACGCTCATAAAGAATTCCTTCTGACAAATATGCAAAAAGGTGATTGCTTGATTTAACTTCTGTTCAACAGAGAAATGTTTCACAGCAAATTAAATAAGAAAACCTAAATTAAACTAAACTTGATGTATTGTCTTCCTAAGTAATTTCCAGAAACAATTTAAATCTTTCAGATATCGTTATATTTTGATGTTCTCATTTTATATGTAGTTGAGCAGACAATAATTTTTTACCTATTTTTTGTTTCAATGTCATCATTAATCTTATTTTCATCAGATATACAATTATATAGAAATTATTCATTGAACAGATCACTTGGAAACACGTAGGCAATTTTTGGTATGCCCAACTGTCCACCAACCCACCCACCTACCTACCTACCTGCCTGCCTGCCTACCAAAATGATAACAATATAGCACCAAAGCGTACAATAAAATGATAACAATATAGCACCAAAGAGTACAATAAAATGATAACAATATAGCACCAAAGAGTACAATATTACTTGAAAAACACAAATATTGATATCATTTTTTAAATAAAATGACAGATTCAAGCAGGGGAATAAGTTCCTTGACCAATATATATTTCAGTGAAAGCAGGTCACATTCAAGCCAAGCTTTGACCCAATTATATACCATCTAATACTCTTTATACAAGTGGACATAAAATTAATAGAATCCCTTATATAGATGGGGTTGATATCAGCTGTGATACAATAGGAAAATAGATTTGATATAAACTTCATTCCAATTGGAAGATTGATGATGTATGAAATATTTAATGATGTAATATCCTTAAATGGGGTTGTAACTGCATTTCGATATGTTTGTTTTTCTATTTTGTCTACTCATACTTCAAATTACATAGTTTCATGAAGAAACATTTCTTATTTCCTTTTCTGTTTTTCTTTCTACTTATTGTATTTGTATTTTCACTCTGGATCAGAAGTTACACAGAATTATCATGAATGATGGGGTACTCAGGAAGGAAACTCAAAATTGCACAGAAAATTCTTGATGATTTGATTGTAAGACTAAATTAATTTCATTGAGTGAAGCTTTATGCTTCGGCCTTAGTACTAAGTACAACAAGAAAAAAAAGTCATCTTCCTAGAGGCCTGACGGAGAACCAAAACCTACAAAATATTCAATAAGATTTTGAGATGCCATCCCACACAAACATTCATCAGCCCACCAGACAATAAAAAAGAAAGAAATGAAGATTATCATGCTGATATATAAATTGATGTTCATATAAAACATGAAACAGAGACAAATGACAGAGACGAGGAACAAATAAAGAACGGTAACAAAAATAACATAGTTGAAGAAATGTAAAATATTCCGATACTTTGTTCAAATTTTAGAGAGCTAAGTAGAAAGAGGTTGACAGGCTGACATTATAAGCCTGATATATATCACTAGTTAAAGCTAACTCCTTCTTAGTAGGAACATTCCTAAACCAGAAAGTCTTCAATCATCGATACCTTATTGCAATTTTATCGCCTATATTTCCTCTGCAATGATCCAATATCTTGTAATGTCAATTTATTTGCAAGAGTTTAGCAAGTTTTACAGCTTGGTGTAGAAAATGCTGAATTTATATTTCAAATAACATTTATCATTTTACGAGAAATGTCTAGAGGTCACATTTGGAATTATGTCCTGTCTCAGATTCAGGCTTCAGATTAGTTCAAACTGAAATGTGTCATTTGAACTCCTTTAGATGTAATTTTTCAAAATAATCCAACTGATCGGACGTGTTTCCCTATGATGTTTTTCAGAGTCCAATTTATCTGTCAAGAAAGGTATGACAATATAATAGGAAATAACGACACTAAACTGTCATGTCACTGACCAATTAACTGTTATATAGCTTCTCCTAATTAAAGATAATCCTTATAATGTCTCCTTTGACTTTCTCCATCAGACCTTTTTACAAACTCAATCTATCAGTAATCCTAATTTTCTTCCCACATCAGTAACTTCATCTTGACATATACTAACACTTTATTGATGTTCATTCTATCAATTCATTTTTCCAGGTTGATTTCTCCAGCTAAATCGAATATTTGATCCTTGATAACTCAATTTCTTTACTTGTTCAATATTCTGTTAAATGGACTGACTTAAGGCCAGAAATTGCCAGGGGATTGTGTACTGAAGTGTACTTGCTGTATGGCTTCTCCTATGAAGGTCTTTTCCTATGGTATTTTAACACTTCCTGTAACCTGATTGTTGACTTATGTGCTTTTACATTACAGATGTTGTCTAAATATTATTCAACTTTGAATAGTTTTCAATTGTTGTGGGGAAATTGATAAAGACATAAGTGTTTGAATATGCATTGAAGCAGGGACTAGTGATATACATGTACTCTAGATTATCATCAGTAAGTCACATTTCCCTCTCACTATTACAGAAGATTTTAGCTTTGGTGTTGCTATTAAGTAGATCTTTAAGCTTTTTGTGTAGTTTAATGTGGTTTCTTTAATCTGAAATGAATGGCATCAATTTCAGATGGAATTGTGTAGTGTTATAATTTCCTGAACAGTTTGAATAGATATGGTCTTGGGCAAAAAATCGTCTCTTATCTAGAGTGTAGGAAGCTCTGGCAAAGGGTAGTGATTACTGTATTTCATTCATTGATATGACTATCTGTGATATTTGGAACTATCTACCCTAATTATGCAATATTTATGCATCATTTTGAAACTGCACATAAATTGATATACTGGATAATTTTCCCATTGAAATTAAAATATTAAAATGCCTACAAGCATTTTCTATTAAACACCAAAGGTAAATTGCAAAGTTTGATAGAACATGACAAAATATAATTATAAGGCATGTCTTTTCCCTCAGGTCATATGGCTGAACTTCAAATCATGAGATATGACAGCCTAAGTAAGAATAATTCATACTTTAGCTGGAATCTGTCATCGAGGAATGAACAAAAATAACATGGTAAACTATTCCCTGGAACATAAGACCTCACTTTGGTTTTATTGGTTACTGAAATTGAGTACCCTAATCACATAATCATCCACTAAGATGTCTCAGTAGCATTTTGTAGCATTATTAACTATTATCATATTCAACTCTGAGAAAGCCACTTATTTACAGATATGTGGGGTTAGGAATGACCTGAATGCAGAGGTTAGTTACATATTAGTAAAGACACAAAGGGTCAGGAATTCAAAAAATATCTCACATTAAAAAAAATTGGAAAATTTGAACAATTGTTAAAAAACTTTAAGGCAACATAATTATGCACTTTTTAAAATTTAAAGAACTTCCAATAAAAATCTGCAAAACTTATCCATTTATGATCTGTTTTTAATGTGGTCTTCATTTTTTCAGGTCACAATTGGGTACATAAATGTACAACTTTTAGGCCATTGGTCATAGTGGAGTATCTCTACATAGATGAATTTTGATAATTAAAGGAGGTTATCAGTAGCAAGATCAAACCATTGCTTTGGAAAATAAACTCAGTTTTTAGCTACACAGACCAGTATCTAGGTAATTCCTATACATTAAAACCTGTCTTAGTGAACACAACTTTCTAGTGAACACCTGTCGAAAGAAACACACTTTTTCTCAGGACATGGTCCAAGAACTTCTGTATACAATATCCTCTCTATAGTGAGTACTTAACTCCATGATATTCACTACCTATATATGGAATAATTTATAAATGTTCCTATTCTCTAAGCTAGCATTTGCAAATTCCATCACCGGCTGTCAGCTGATGAATTAACCACTATCTTACATCTTAGGGCAAACTCATTTAAATATGAACATGAAAAGTACATTTCAATGAGTTGGCCATAGAAATAATGGTTAATCAGTCAGCTGACAGTTAAATTCGGGAATGATACCTCAACCAATTTTGTCTGAATCCCAATCTTACAGCACGCTACATACCTGCCCTCTTTATAAAAGAAATTACATCAAAATCAAGTTCGACATTTATTGTCCTGTTGGATGGACTATTCAATGTATATGAATGTTTCCACCACAGTGACATCTAGTATACAAGTGACAAAATAGCATTACCATAGCCCTTCTGAAGAAAATTGAGTCAAATGATTGAACTCTCTCCTAATTTTTACTTTTCGTGTAGCAATGAAAACTTCTTAAACATCCAGTCAGATATATGTCAATGTCAACAATCTGCAAAATGACTTGCTACCAATGGTTAAACATTTTTGAGTTATCCAATCATCAATGGAATGCTTTCCCAGGCCTTGGCATACATTTCCTTCTTGTACTTCAAGTAAGTCCTGCTGTAGACATTCTGAGAACAATTTCTCTTTTTTGACCTTGTTTTAGAGACTTTTAGCATCCATATTGCATCCATCAGTTGTAGACATAGCAACTGTTAATATCGAGTAGGCTCATTTGTGACTCAACATCATCATACACTATGATGTCATAACAATTTCATAATGAGATATGATAATCAATATTTTCATTCATGGTGTTGTAGCTCCATGGCAATGAAGATTTGCTTGTTTTATTCGCATTGGACATTATTTCAAACATTTGTATTTTTCAGATACCTCGTCACTCGAACAAAAGCAACCCTCTCTATTAGTTTTATACCTCGGAACATTTGTTAAATCAAGGGAAAGCAGAATTATCCATTATGCCCCAAAAACATTTATCAAAACCTGTACTCACTTTTTCATCTTCTTGATGCTATATTTGATAAGATGTGCTACATCTAACAAGGCCTCTGGGTCAGCTTCAAACTTGGCAGGAATATCTTTTTGAAAATACTGGAATGGAGGAAAATATTAGATAATTTCATTTAAATTGTTTTATCTTAATAGTATTCATTTTATCAGTTGGATCATTCTTTGTTAATGATGTATTTACATTCATATATACTTCAAAACACAGTTGAAATTTAAGAGAAAATTTATTTAGTTTTGGGTGTTTAAATAATATATTTTTTATAACTATGATTAGCTTTAATTATACAGTCACAGTATATAGCAAGCGAATAAAATTTTGACTCCAGTTCACTCTTGACTTACTCTTAGCATGCCCTCCATGTCCAGTCCTAGTAGTTCCGATTCACTAGTTTGTAACAATGCAATCGCCACCCTGAATATGATCTCTATACCCTAAAAACATAGAATGGAAGCAGAACTCCATTTATGTAAGCTGTATCATCAATAAAAACTAAAAATGCAAAACTTTACGGTAAATATAACTTTTCTGAACACGCTCATGAATATTGAGTTTACTGCAATGCTTGTAAAAAATTAGACAAGGCATTAATATGCAAAATGTCACCACCTGCCATTTGTTACAGATACTGAGTGCCATACACTGACTGCTAAACACCATCCACAAAAAAGTTTGAGACTATAACAATATGTGATCACTTCTGGTGGTGACATAACAATTGATTTATGTGATAAATCTCACTAACCTCTATGAGGAACAGATCTACGATCCTACAAGATATTGCAATAGGAAGAGACATGGTGAAGAGAGTCAAGAACCAGGATGAAGCATACATGGACGTGTGGAATCCCTGCTGTTGAAAGTGAATGGACAGATCTGGTAATAATTCCTAGAAATAAACATGATTATAATATACCATCATGTTATAATAATGACAAAAGAATAAATGTAAGATTTGTAGTAAGACTCAAACCCATAATATTTTATAACATTCAATCATGTACCACTTGGCAAAATCTCAACCCTGCTTGTATTTTGAACCAAAACATACATAAACCATACACAATAGATAAAAACAATTACAGTAACATAACAGTAAAACAAGTCTCATTTTGGACAATACTTGGACCAGCCAAAAGTGTTCAAACAGGCAGGTATTCACATTTCAGATGAAAAATGGCACTGAAATATGTTCATATTGAGAGGTGTTCAGATTAGAGAGGTTTGGGATCTGAATGTTTTACTGAAGATTGAATTACTCATTACCTGAATTAAGCCCTCTAGTTGATACATGCAGAGTCCAAGCTCAATCATACTTGGTTTAAACATCTCCCTCAGCTTATACTCTTGCATCAACTTAGCAAACACTGAGAAAGTCTCTTCCTCTGGCATCTACAGTAGAAATAATAAAAAAACATGAAAAATATTTTTGGTGCATGAAACTAAGATTGGAAACAAAACCATCTCATGTTATTTTCCCATCAGGTGAAAAAACTCGGTATAATCGTATATATCATTTTTGATATAAACACCAATTTTTTGTAAAACTTAAAAAGTCAAAATGTTTGCTCCCACTGTTGTTATATGACATACCTGCATAAGTAGAAGGCCAACAATAAAACCACTTCCCTGGCAGTAACCAACCTCTCTGTCTATCAGTGAATAGGCCTGCAGTTTAAGGTAATTCATCAGTATGTTGTATACAAGCATATTAACATTTTGCAGGTTAGTGGTTGAAAACCAGTTTTCAAAATTTAAAGAATGTATTGAAAAAATGAATACCAGACACATGGTGATAAATATCGCACTTTTAAGTGGCCACATTGTGAATTACCAGCATGCAAAATAGTAATCAGAACTTGGGAACTTAATCTGCTCTTGCATTTGTAAAAATTAGTACCGTGGGTACTGGGCTCACATGGTGACAGAAAAAAACGGATATAATTTTTTGTTACAAAATTATTTCAAGCCATCTGTCTCTCAGTCAATTAAAATGGCTGAAAAAAAAACGGATATAATTTTTTGCCAATAATTTGTAACAAAATTATTTCATACAACTACTCTTTACAGTGACATGGCTTTTTGCAATGCAAGACACCTGAAATTATTTGTAAAGCTAGGAAATGGGCCAAAATTGAATTTCGCGAGACAAAAATGGCAACCATTTTGAAATCAGGCAAGCTTTTGAACCAGGAGTCATAGGGGAGTTTTTTGTATTGATGTTGAACAAAAATAACTTGAAACTGGAATCCTATCGACAGAGGTTTTAAGCAAATGGTCCAAAAGAGGATTTCGCGAGACAGATGGACAAATCAATGTTAACTAAAATGGCTGAAAATAAAAAAAATGGATATAATATTTTGCCGATTTTTTGTAACAAAATTATTTCATACAACTACCTTTTACAGTGACATGGCTTTTTACAAGGCAGGACAGCTGAAATTATTTGTAAAGCTAGGAAATGGGCAAAAAGTGAATTTCGCGAAACAAGAATAGCAACCATTTTGAAAGTAGGCGAGCTTTTGAACCAAGAGTCATAGGAGAGTTTTTTGTATTGATGTTGAACAAAATTAACTTAAAATGGGAATCCTATCGACAGAGGGTTTAAGGTAAATGGTCCAAAAGTGGATTTTGCGAGACAGATGGACAAATCAATGTTAACTAAAATGGCTGAAAATAAATAAATGGATATAATTTTTCGCTGATTTTTCGTAACAAAAATTATTTCATACATCTACTCTTTACATTGACATGGATTTTTACAATGTAGGACACTTGAAATTATTTGTAAAGCTAGGAAATGGGTCAAAAGTGAATTTCGCGAGACAAAAATGGCGGCCATTTTGAAAATAGGCGAGCTTTTGAACCAGGAGTCATAAGGGAGTTTTCTGAATTGATGTCGAACAGAAATAACTTAAAACAGGAATCCTATCGACAGAGGTTTTAAAACGTGCCACAGAAAGTGGATTTCGCGAGTCAGATAGACAAATCAATGTTAACTAAAATGGCTGAAAATAAGAAAATGGATACAATTTTTCGCTGATTTTTTGTAACAAAATTATTTCATTATCTACCCTTTACATTGACATGGATTTTTACAATGTAGGACACCTGAAATTATTTGTAAAGCTAGGAAATGGGTCAAAAGTGAATTTCGCGAGACAAAAGTGACGGCCATTTTGAAAATAGCCGAGCTTTTGAACCAAGAGTCATAGGAGAGTTTTTTGTATTGATGTTGAACAAAAATAACTTAAAATGGGAATACTATCGACAGAGGGTTTAAGGTAAATGGTCCAAAAGTGAATTTTGCGAGTCAGATAGACAAATCAATGTTAACTAAAATGGCTGAAAATAAATAAATGGATATAATTTTTCGCTGATTTTTCGTAACAAAATTATTTCATACATCTACTCTTTGCTTTGCAATGGATTTCTACAATGTAGGACACTTGAAATTATTTGTAAAGCTAGGAAATGGGTCAAAAGTGAATTTCGCGAGACAAAAATGGCAGCCATTTTGAAAATAGGCGAGCTTTTGAACCAGGAGTCATAGGGGAGTTTTCTGAATTCATGTTGAACAGAAATAACTTAAAACAGGAATCCTATCGACAGAGGTTTTAAAACGTGCCACTGTTATTGACAGAAAGTGGATTTCGCGAGTCAGATAGACAAATCAATGTTAACTAAAATGGCTGAAAATAAAAAAATGGATACAATTTTTCGCTGATTTTTTGTAACAAAATTATTTCATATATCTAATCTTTACATAGACATGGATTTTTACAATGTAGGACACCTGAAATTATTTGTAAAGCTAGGAAATGGGCCAAAAGTGAATTCCGCGAGACAAAAGTGACGGCCATTTTGAAAATAGGCGAGCTTTTGAACCAGGGGTCATAGGGGGGTTTTCTGTATTGATGTTGAACAGAAATAACTTAACACAGGAATCCTATCGACAGAGGTTAGCTAGGAAATGGGCTAAAAGTGAATTTCGCGAGACAAAAGTGACGGCCATTTTGAAAATAGGTGAGCTTTTGAACCAGGAGTCATAGGTGGGTTTTCTGTATTGATGTTGAACAGAAATAACTTAAAACAGGAATCCTATCGACAGAGGTTTTAAAACGTGCCACTATTGTTGACGGACGGACAGACGGACAGACGGACGGACGGACGGACGGACGGACGGACGGACGGACGGACGGACGGACGGACGGACGGACGGACGGACAGACAGACAGACGGACAAGTGAGTGATTGCAAAAACTCACCATGTGAGCTAAAAATATAAGGCTAAATAGTGGAATAATTTTCTTGATCTCTTGATAGCATTCACCCACATGGCCATCAGCACATGACAACATGTTGACAATACAGCACTTTCTAACTAGGAACGAAGGATGATGAAAATTTTACTTTTTGTTAGGGAGTCACTTTCCTGTTGATAACCCGATATTGGTGGTCAGATTAAACAAAAGTATAATTTCATAAATTCTGTTACTTTTTTCATTATATTGAAGGCAGTGGTCTTCCCAGGATTTTATGTGTGAAAGTTATGTACTGAATTACTGGAGGCGTGTAGGGCCTGGAAATTAAAGACTTACTTTCATAACATTAAATAAGCTCTCTTGGCCCAATCCATCTTTGTCCTTGAAGAAATCATGGTCGGGGTAAGTCCTTGCAATATCACGTCGTATCATTTTCTCACAGGGTGATGGGGTTTTGAGGTACTCTGCATATTTGTCCTTATGTTCTGAATTGTGTGCGTTGCAAAGAAGCTGCCAAACAATCCCCCTGAAATGATGTGGGATGCCCTTTCGAACCAGGTCCTGAAAATGTCCAGAAGAGCAATGAATTATGTGATGTTCATGTTTTTTTGAGTTATCTATGGTATATTTTCATTTGTTGCCTGTGAACAGTTTCATGGCCCTTACATTGATCTAAAGCTTAGTCCACTGTAACTTGATCGAAATGGATTACGGACTTTAAATGTACAAAATTGTCTATGAAACTGTTGGACGAAAATTTGGGTCAATTCAACAACAATACACATGCATAGGCGAATAGTGGTCCTAATACTAAACTTAGAAAGTAGATGGTTATTCAATTGTTTTAGTATGCTATATCATAATAACAAATCTTGGGATAGATCATACTGTAAATCGCTTGGTAGATCATATTTTAGATCATATTATTGTCAATTTATGATAATATTGTAGATCATGTAGATAACACATATATTACATATAAATCATATTGTAGATTGTGATCATATGGTCATATAGATCATATGGTACATCTTTAGTATTGATGAGATTCAGATATTAAATTTCCTATTGATCATATATAAGATCTCATTATAGATATATCATAAATTACATCATATTGCAGATCATAAAAGATAATGGATCATCCCAAACAAAGAAATATCTAATACGAAGTCTAATGCAAGATAAACATCCTTGAATAAAAGAATATCATTAATTATTTAAACATACATCACTCAACATTGATCAAATGGAACACAATTCCAGATGAATGCATGTAAAGCTATAACTAGACCCTATAACAGCCATAATAACTAAGAGTTCATAGTACTATGTAGTAAGACCAGGTTTGAGGAAATGAGAACCTTCAGAATGTTATCATAGACTTTTTATCAAGTATGTAACATGTTAACCTAAGTCAGCATACATGACTTAGCAAAAATGAGTATCCAATACCATAGGACATCCCTCATCCTACCCCAGTCTGGCAAGATAAATACCATTGGATAAGGGACGGTCTAAGCTTAACTAGTTTTCATTAAGATTTCTTCAACATAAAATCTGTTATCAGAAGCTCTACAAATCTGAGACTCAGAGCAACACGCTCTGTTATATCATAGATGAGGCATGTCAGGTGAATTTGATGAATAGTTCTAGAGATATTGTAACACATATTACACACAAGGGTTTAGCACAGTGCTACCAACTAGCACTCAACTCATAGACCCATGAAAATCTCGTCTGATGGTCTGTTATGGTGATTTCACAATAAGGTATATTACGTCTATACAGATTCCTTAGGCACGTTAGGAACAAGTGCAACAATTTGTGAATTATATGATATTCATTAACCATAGGCAAACCCAAATATTGAAAACAACAATATGTCATCACTGTTTTGGTGACGATGGTAAAAATCAGTCTGCCAGACAGAGTACCCTGTACTCGTATATATTACCTTTATCTGAGGGTATTTCTTCTTGGAGTATGACTCCCAGTCATTGACGATCCTCCCCCATTGGACCCAGGAATCATTCTCTGCAGCTATAACACATAAAAACACAAATGGTTAAAGCAAGCATGGGATATATATAATCAGCTAAAGAGCATTGATTCACATAGATTTTAGCACATGGTTTATTTGGTTCCTATGTTAAACATTACACTAAAACATCTGTATGAAAACACCTCTATAAAGCAAAGACCATGCCATGTTAACATTATTTTTTCTCTGCATACTTGTGAGAGTTATCATTTTACATCTTGTGAATAAATTATATTCTAAGCTTCATGATAATCATAAATACACACAGCCCAATGATACAGGAATAAAGAAAAACCTAGTATTACTGATCTGCCATCTGTAGGAGTCCTCAAACATTTGATAGCATTGCATCGGAGGATATTGTTTTATAATGATTTAAGTGCTAGTACTACGAGAAATTATATGAGAAATTGATATAGAGAATCCAACATTCTAAGTGCTTTGGACAAATGCATTATCTGATAACAATTCATTTCTATTGTTACTCTGACAAATCAACTCAGGAAGATGGATGTATAAAGTTCATGCAGTATGGTATTAACACATGCAGATATCTGTTTCCTTAATTCAGTCTGGAAATTTGAGTCTTCAGTGGTTTTCATCACATTTGTTACATTGTCAAGTCATAGCTGCATTGTAAAACTTGTATATTGTACTGACAGACGCTCATATAATTCATATCAGCCATATTCATCCTCTGATTGTAAGGTAAAAAGATCCAGAATGAGTTCTGTAACCAGTGTTTAGAGAATGGTCATATTATATTATATTTTTGGCATTCTAATACTCATAGCATCTGTCTCTGTTACATCCAGAAGGATTGAGATGGAGAGGGCGTGGCTTACCACGATGTATATTCGGAGAGATCATACCTTTTTGTTTGTCATTTTTTTAGTGGGACAGAATGAGGGTCTGAGTATTAGAACAGGTAATAATAAATATACAATTACAAGATATTAATGATGACAAACGTCATGAAGTACATTAACAAAAGTCTTTGTCTATTACAATATGTCACCACTTGTATCTAAAATAACACAGTTGCCTGAATGATAAAAATATATATGAAAGATCAACAAGTGACAAATACTCACATTGAGTCATTTTAACAATACAATTTTAACACAGAATGATCATGGTTTCCATTTTACATCTAAAATAAACATTCTAAAACAAATTAATCATATTTCTATCTCAACTAGACATCTAAATACAAGTGTATGAGTAAGAGCTTTGACTAAAAACAAAAACATAAAATACCTAATCGGTTGTTTTTATCAGTTCTTTTGAAAATATAATTTCAGATTTTCTCTTAAGGTCAATGTATTATGCCCATTGCCATAGACACATTTTATGTGAGAAAAGTAGGAGAAAATGGGATGTAACTTCTATGTAATTTCTACAACTAGTATATGGCAGAAAATCTATAGGGAAGAGTTAGTGCAATGTTTCTATAAAAAAGATGTGATGCAGTTTAGTGCACATCTCCAGGAAAGCTGTTAAATTGAGTTGATGATCCTTATATAGTATATTCTACATGAGATGGTCCCATTTCAAAATAAACCATGTTTGACTGAATTAAGAAAAATATCCAAAATCTAGAGTATGTGTGAGTGTGCAAGAGCTGTGAATGTCTACTATCTAAGATAGGGTCTAAGAATATATCTGGCCATAAGCTCCTACTTTTAGTGCAGTGTCGAGTGTATGCTAGGTAGGTTAGGCATGGAATGATGTGAGTGCTTGCTTAGAACGAATCAAGTTGAATACACAAGGATTTATTAATTTTACATATACACTGTATAATTACAGAATGATAGGACAATATCATGTCAGATTTGATGTCATCATTTTACGCTTATTCGAAGAAAAGATAGATATGAATTGGCATTGTGGGATCCACAGCCTTTACTATCCTTTTGGAATAGTTCAGACTGTGGGATACTGACTGTAATAAATGTTTCCTTTAACCCTAAAATGTACGGACCAATTAAATTATGTACAGAGTTCTATTGACCATGAGTATCATGGGAAGGCATTACATGCAGTTGCATGATTACATAAGCAGACAAAGCCTAATGAGTGAGACCAAACACAATTCCCTCCCAAATAATCCAAGTGTTGACATTTGCATGATAAGTATTGTTTAAAATTCTAAATTGGAAAACAATAAGAAAAAAGAAGTATGTCAACATTATCATAGTTATTAATTTTCAATATAAAAACAAGAACCATCAAGATAAATAAGAGTTTTCCACATAATGAATTCATTGAATTAAAGTTTACAAAGGGGAAAACAGGACAGTGCATTCTTAGGCACTAATTTATTCCTCCATATACACTGATTTACTTGGAGAATGCACTGGCTAGGAACATGTTCTGCCTCATGATATATCAGAGTCTCTCAAAAGCGTTAGGTAAAGAGGGACTCTGATAAATCAGAATGATGAATTGGTATTCTAAGTAATACTGTGTGGATCCATTTTAGTGTCATTGAAGAAAAAGAAAAAGTTGGGTTTAGGAATAATATAAAAGGAGTGGTACAAATTATTAGCAAGTTAGTGGTTATATGGATAACTTTTTCATCATCTTGGGTTAGATGAGGAAAACAGAACTTTAGTTGCAAAGTGAAGGGATTAATATGATGAGAAGGAAGACGAGGGGTGGTGAGAGGTTAGGGGTACCAAGAAAAGGTACCTTTCTTTTTTACTGGACTAGCTGCAGCATTATGTGAGTGACCTACAGAGAAATGTGCAAAGTTACAATGAACTACATATAGGCAAAGACAATTAATTCAACCATTCTCCAAATGCAGGGCTCTGGACATCATCCACTCTGTCCCTTCTGTTCCTATAGAGTAGGTGATGTTTGGAGACTTATATTCGGAGGATGATGTTAAACATACAATGTACTACATACAGATAGAGACTATAATGTGTTTTAATCTAAGATATGACAGCATTTAGATTTTAGAAGTGAATGTTAATTTTAAGGAAACATTTCATAATTTCACACAAAATAACATAATAAAGTAACATTCATGATTGACATTAAATATGAGTAACACATACAACAAACATGCAAATAATTTTGAAATACAAGTTTCAGAGCAATATAGTCATAATATTGTGATGACACGTTATTGTGATACCAATGATGCCAACAGTTGCAATTACTATATTACAATAAATGCTTGAGAATGAGATTACCCATAAAATAATTCAAAAATGTATTTTTAAAAATTTGATCTCCCAAAAATTATCTTTCCAATAAAAAAAATTTGATCCCCAAAAAAATTAATCTTTCCATTAAAAACTTGTTGCCACCCCAAAAAAGAACCACCGGTAGGTGTTTTCAATAGCTATATGCCAACTTTAATGATATTAGACTGATAGAGACACTAAACATCATCAGGTATTATCCACTTGTTGTAAATCAGGATGCACTTGTCATATAAGAGTAAGTTTATAATCTATATGCACTCTCATCTAATAAGGAAATCAATTCACTGAATAAATAATTAAACTATCTATTATCATCCAAATTCATCATTAACAGGCCATTTGACATGAATATAATTAAACTGGGGTCAATTTACTTTTTAATAATATTAATACATTATTGATATGCATGTAAATGGAGAGATTTTACCAAAGTTGCATGCTTGACTTGTTTGCCCCCGACCTAATGCTGGAGATTTCATTTATGGAATTCCATTACATGTTAAAGGTTTGAAAAAATGGTTCTGAAGCCTGTAGGTAGACATTTCTATGTTACATGTAACCCCTTTATATAGGTATTCTAAGACATCGCTGTCTAAGTATTATGCATAGTATAGCAAAGGATCAACCAGTCACATATTTCAAGGTCACATTGCTCCTTCAATGTAAAAATGTTTACTTGAAAAACCACTGACAATATGCTAATACTGTTATTCTGTTTGTACAGAGACATATAAATGAGGTTAGAAGTTATAACCATTTCAAGGTATTTCAATTTTTTCATCAAAATTCTGGTGATAAAAAAAAGAGAAACAAATTAAATTGGGCAACCATTCAACAAATTCTCTGGTACATTGCACAAGCCTGGTATTATAATAGAATTCCCCAAAAAATTAAAACATCTAACTTGAAGTGAAACCCAATCCCACCTAACCTTTAAAATGGTTTGATTTTACATAATTAAAAGAGAGGTTCATATGGTCATAATGAACTAGGGTCTGACAATCTGGTAAATCCCACCTTATATCTCCTGTTATATTATCAGTTTATATAGACGTGTCTAAAATAGAGATGAAAAAGAGGGTCCCCATCAATTTAATCATTGAGTTTAGATTACATAATACCATTAGGAATTTGATATAACAATAGTGTTCTCTGACAAGAAGATGCTAATACACAGTGAATGAAACATGTTCCAGTGAAAAATGATTGCCCTGAATTCCTAGTAACAATGGATACAACATTAATGGTAACTTACTTATTTCTTCATCGAAGGTGAGATTACTGACATGACTTGACACCGAGTTGCCTGAGAGGACGCTGCATTCTGACCCCTGTCTGGAGTGACCTTTGACCTCTGGAGAATCAGATGGCACACTCAGGGACACTGATTTCTCATCAATCTCAAGAGCTCTGAAAAATATTTTATTTTATTAATACATGTATTCTGATCATGATTGATTGATTGGTTCATTCATTGTTTTCTTTTCACAAAAGACTCCCTTTACATTGTGACTTTAATCATAAAAGACTCATACATTGGAAAACCATGGGCTTTCAATTCTAGTTGAAAGCCCATGGGAAAACCAAGATGCAAGATATGAGTCACAAAGGTTTTAAAATAAGGAATGGTACATTCATGGTGCTCCAATAGACCTCCCCCTCCCTCCCAAACTACACTTACTAACTGCACCATCATTTCCAGGATATGCCTAAGGTATTTGACTTACGCAGGAAGTTTACTCTTGCATATGTAAATGTTGCCAATATCTTTCAGCTACATATGTAACTATAAAGGCCTTAATAAATGAATTCTGTTTACCTACTTTAGTGTCATACATGGCCCTCTCTGGTCAAACCTTGTTGGTTTGAATGCTTTCTGTTCAAAAAGTTTAGGGTCTATATACACATTTTAACATGTCCTTTTTGGAATTTCAAAACAAAAAGAAACAAGACATACAGTGAACAAAATTGTCGCTAGAAATTAAAGTTAAAATATCATGGACAAGAAAAGTGAGATGCTGCCACCTACCAACAAAGCTGATTTTAATAACATACCTTTTTGGGATATGAAAATAAAGCCTGCGGCCTTTTTAAAAAGAATACCCTCTAAACAGACAATTTTATTGTATGAGCCTTAGATAGACAGGTGTAGAGGAACCTATAAGAGCCACATGGAGAGATACTAAGAGTACAGATGTATCAACAAACACATCATGCATACAACTTCTATGATTGGAGAGGAATTCAAGTATTTTGAGTAATATACCTGCTTGCCATTAGGCAGTTACTCACTTATGCATCATCTATACTCCAGAAACTTAAACATTGATCAACCCTCAGACAGAAAGATGAGAAATCGTGAAACATATTTTCCCAAAATAACAAGCTGGCTTTCAAGTTTAGATCAATGTGTACTGTGTAGTGGTATTGATAAGGTTTGCCTTGTTCCATGTTTTCTCAAAATATTTTTATTAAAAACAATTTTGAGTTATCCTGACTTTATATGAATGAGTACATTAAGATATGCTACCTATTACCCTGAGTTCAAAAGATAGTAATAATCACTATCATCTTAGGAGGACAAATATCATAAATTGTACTTACCTGTTAGCCTCTTCCAGTTTAGCTAATAATACCAAATCTTCACGTTTCGTAAACTTGGGACTTTTAGGACTGTGTTGCGGACTGCTGGCATCCATTGTCGTCTGCTAGCTTTTAAGTAACACAGTCTAATATTTTGTCATCCATTTTACCTGAAATTGAAAATGATATTAAATGAGATATATCAGTTTCTATAATATTGAAAACAAAACTAGTTTCTATGAGTCGTGACTGACATATCACATAAAAGTAGATAAACATAAAAAAATTTAAAAAGTGACTAATTCTCAAGATATTAGTTCTACATGTCATAATGACTTACTATTCTACTTGACGTGGATGGTTTTATTACTGCTTTATCAATAAAGAATTCCAAAAACTTTGATTGAATTCAATGTCAAAAGGTTCCATAGCTGTAACGCCTACGAGTGTTATTGAATATTGACCAAAAGTAAATAGCATTGAAAATTCAGGTGTTTTAATCATAAAATGTTGCCTATTGATGAACTATGAACAAATCTATTAAAGGCATTCATTTCTGTTGATATTATGAGAAAAGCAAATTTTCTTGGACACGTTAATCAACCAATTAATAATGTCATAAACCCTACATAATGATTGCATGGATGCAGGAGACTCTGTACATGTAAATGATACATAAAATAATGATGGGAGGGTTATTACAGTAGAAACTAGTAATTCATAATGATCTATAGAATTCAATGAATATGTACTTGATCAATAAGGAAGACATTAAGTATATAGGTACATAGTGCCTCTATATACAGTAAAACCTGTCTAAGGGAACAATTACAGGGGAGGTATTCACCTCTCAGAAAAATAAAGAAAAGAAAGATTTTTCAGATTTTTTTACTAAAATTTTAAAAGTCATATATCACAGAAGTATAAAATCTTCTTTGGCCAAACTCATCTTCTTCACCTAATTTTGGATCCAAGCCTACACCACTGAGAGTGTTAACATTGGCAGGAATTTCATTGTTTTTGTTCAAAGATTTTCACTACAGAAAACTACAGAGAAGAGTCCAGAAAAAAAACAGATTGAAATATTGGATTTACAACTGATTAGAAATAGAGGCAAACTGTGCCGTGTTTCTGTTTCCCTTGTTTCTGGTTTGGTTTTCCACAGTATACTACTGAGAAAAGTACATATAAATTCAAGAAAAAAACTTAGAATTACAACTGTTATGATAAGGAGAGATCTTCGCCAAGTTCAGAAGAAGATTCCTCGCAAGTTCCACAAAAATTAAACTTATTGGAATTACAACTGATTTGCCATATACCCCTTCATTTTCTCTCCACTCAGTAGCAATAGATAAGAAAGGATCTGGAAAATTAGACTTCTGGAACTAAAAGACCTCTAGCCTAATCTTCACACATCTTTAAGGCCCAATGATCTTCTAAACATTCTAGCTGTTGGCGAATGCACCCAGTTGAGAACGTCAAATCACCTTCCTGCACCCATTTGACAATCCCTTGCACCCATTTGAGAATTTGATAAATCATGAACAATTGAGACATTTTGATCAGTTTTTCCAATAAGAATATGTAAAATAGAAAATCTACATCGAGAAGAGAATTAGAAAAATGCTTTAGTGAGAACCTGTAATAAATCAGTTCCCCATCTTTAGCCAATTGGGAATTCTAGTGGATCGAGTTATTATAATGAAAATGTCAGATAGTATTGATGTATAGTGAAATCAGCCTAAAATATATAAAATAGATGAATTGGAAAATCGCTCTTAAGATTTGTAGCACTTGAGATAAACCGTTAAACATCTGTAACTGATTCTGATTTGTATGTACATCTACTTCATACTGTACCATTACATTTTAGTTCATGAAGAACACTTCACACTATACCATTGAATTTCAATTTATGATGAAGAACTATTCCTTCCCTGGCACAGATGTATATACATGTACTTATGTAAACAATTTTTATCACTGGTTTAAACTGTTTTTCTGATCTATGATTTTTTTATAAAATAATCTTTTTGGCACATGATACATTATTTTGTATGCTACTGTGAACTGTGTAATGCTACATAAGTAAAAAAAATAAGTACAACAATAAGTAAATAAAATAAAATATACATAAATATAACTTATGTTTGAATAGTATCCACTACACAGTACCTGTAATTCCTCAGTCTTCATGTAGAATTCCTTTTATAATGAATGATTTCCTTGTACATACTTATCTGTTACACGTTAAGAATACTCCTACCTGCATATTTGAATGACAAGACTTTTAGAATTATTATCTCATAGAACAATCAGCTTTAAAATAATGATCTAAAATAGATATTTCTCGGGTTAGGTGTCGCATTAGATTAAGCCGAAGGGAATACGATTATATCTCCTGTCATTTTCTATTTATTGAAGGACATTGTTGGGTTATTGAACAAGATAGCCTATTCCAGATAATATAAAAGCAGAGTATCTACTAGCATGGTGGCAGAAACAATGTATGATTGAATAACTTAATTTGATTTAGAGACAGAAGTCAATGTAAAATCCAAGAAAATAATCAATATTTCCCTTTGATGAATATACTTAAAATTAGTGGTGCAACTCGAATGCCAGTACTCGCCACTCACTCGTTGAACCTGTCCAAGATAGTTACTCGAGTACGTTTTTTCAAACTCGAGTAGGCATTGAATTCCCAAACAACGATCTCATACCCCGGGAATGATCATTTTTGGATGCACTGAACAAAACAAAGTATCGATTCCGGAAACAAAATGACATCAATAACATATAGAAGAAACGAGGAAATTGTATCTATTTGGTCTTCAAACAGTCGACTAGGTGAGTTTTTTATTTTTTTAAATTTTTCCCTCATTTTTGCGAGTGGTACTCGATTACAGTGGCATTTTCACACTTTCTACTCGAGTAGCATTTTTCTTGCGAGTTGCACCACTACTTAAAATTAGTAAGCTAATCCTTGATAACTCAATAAAAACGTTTCTCCTCATTCAAAATATTTCTTCCCATAGAAGAAGTCTGCAAGGTTCATGTTTTTAGTCCTCTTTTGAAGACCATACTTATCTTAGCTCAATATCATTATTATTTGGTACGTGAATTCTTGAAAATCAATATACATTAGCTAATCTTGAGTCTAAAATGTGATGTTTGATGTTATATTGGCAGAATCTGCCATTTATGATAGCTCATTCATCATAGTAGTTCATTAATATTATTACAGTTCCTCTTTAACAGTCTATGGCATGGGCCATTTTCCACCGCTGTATGGGTCAGTTGTAAAATGGCCCGACCTAGTAACCTACATGCATATTTCTCTGTAATTAATCAAAATTAAGGATTAAAGATGGCATGATACTCTAGCTCATTTGAATATCTACACACCAGTGTCAGTCTCTTTTTTGACGTCCACATCAATATGGAGCAATAGCAATGTGAAGAATTTGGGAAGTTTTCTTAATTATCTCAATTTCTCATGAACCATTTTTTTAAAAAATAGGATCATAACGTAATTTAATATCTTGGCATCAAGTTTATTTGATTCATTTGAGTGACCAAAAAGCTTAAAGGGTAAAAAATCAAAGTGATCACGGCCTTGTGATTTCCAATATTTGATAAAACATTTTTTCACCCAGACTAGGTCATGACCTACTGGGCCATAATCCAACCCCATTAAAGATTGATATGTACAAATTACTTAATCAAGTGCCATTAATCTGCTAGTATAGTGTCTTTGTGGTACAGAAGATGTTAGCATATAATATTGAGCAGTTCACATACTTTGTAATATTAAAATTGTTGAAATAAGACTAAAAGATTTGCAGTTCTGATATGTCAGTTCACAAGTTCTAGTTAAACAAGGGGGGGGGTATAGCATTCTACTACAAGAGTACAATGTGACACAGTTTACAAGATCTATAGAACGATATTAACTATTTTTAACCTCACACCTTTCCTACTATTTTTCCATCTGATAAAAGTGCTTTGGCATTTAATCATTTTTATAAGAACATATGAGGATATGCTGAATTTAATTGTGATAAGACAATATGTGTGAAATTGAATAAAGCAGTAAATACGAATTATTACGTTTTGACATATTTCATATGTAGAAACTGCTATGTATATTATTTTTATCCCTCTATTATTCATTTACAATTGACTTGTTTCTTTCACCATTATTCAATGTGATTTTATTTAAAAAATAACGTTGTCTAATAATAATAATATGTTGTCTTCTGATAGCTTGTATTCTAAAGCTTTGTTTTTCTAAAAATAATTATACTTGTACATACAGAATGCATAGTTCATTTACTCAATGGACTTTTATATTGAAGGTGTTGAAATTCAACATCATAATATATTAGTAAACCTAAGCCGAGTATGTGCTAAAACAATAGTCACTAAAACTAAAATAGAAAGATTTTTTAATGGATCTATTGGTGTTATATACTGTACGATCAACATAACAGATAATAATCAACTTATCCATTCGCATTTACTTTGCACAAGTCATAGGTGATGAGCAAGAAAAGGATGCAAACAATCATATTCAACAAGAAATACAGATTTGTTTGACTTCCAACCCCATCACAATGGTAAATGCACCATATGTATACTTCAAAAAGAAAGGCAATGTACAAATGTTTAGATTCCATAGAACTAAAAACCCCGATAGATGCTTATTTGTTGCCTCAATATAATCACAAAAACAGAGATAAACAGATTTATAGAATAATATTTGCAAGAAATGACTTGTTAACAGTGATAAGATGAAAATATGTACACATTATCAGAAGAAATGGAATCATTTCCAAGTGAATCTCTATTAAATTCAATGAATGACATTTCTATTATATCATACTGCAAAGGAGATTGTCATTAGAGAGATTTCGTACATCGTGAAAGTACAACTTATAACGTATACTTATACTTATAAGTAAACGTACAAGGTGTTTCATAATGTGGGCTTTTCGTCAGGAAAGATCTTCTCGGACTGTAATAAAGGTCAAAGGGATGCCATTTGTACTTTCTTGAATTGTAGCATGTTTAGTTGATCCAAATATGTTTGTCTAGAACAAAATAGGCTCATGTATAGTACATAATGTTATAGACCCATCTCTTCTCAAATTGACTTTTTGGAGATGCTCGTTATGAAACACCCTGTATGTCATTTGTTGAGCTACTGAATGGGTCGTTTCCAGGAATAGCTAGAACCTACTGGTTTAATTGGTGTTTCAAATTGATGGTTAAGGTATTTGATTGGATATTGTTCCTATTCAGTCAATTAATTTTTTAAAATGCTTGCGGTCAATTGTTCCACACACATGTAGGTAAAGCTTTATATGGAGATCCAACTGTATACGTTTATCATCTACGTATTTATACCGTTTGTAAGTTCATTGAACTTATACTGGTCATGAAAACTTTGAAATAATCAGCTTGTTTATGTAATGACTCACTTTAAAGGATAATGACTCACTTTAAAGGATCGTGTTTATAATACACTATAACTACTATGACACGGAAGCAAGCATTTAATTATAATGTGCATAATCTACACGTGCAGATGACAGTGCATTCACAGTCTCTAGTTGATGGAGCTTTTCTATATCGGGAATAGTTATGTTCCATTAAGTACAATTTAAAATTGATTTTAGTAAATATAATAGTTCGACAAGACCCTTTAAGTTATACGTATACGTATAAGTTGTACTTTCACTTATGTGAGAAATCTCTCTATTCTGCCCCTAAAATGGTTATAATTTTGAAAAGATTGTTGTTAATGACAATTTATTGGCCCTTTGTTATTTTTGACAAATATGGAAAAAGTGCAGATATTCTGGGATTAGTAAGAGAAAAACGCTTGAAAGTTGCGTGTAGGTGGGCATGTAGGTTCCTTGAGATTTCTTCCATAACAAAGGCATGACAACAATACATATGCATACATGTAGTTAAATCTATCCTTTGGGTCTGGGATGACCTTCGTTTTTATATGAGGAAGGCCCTTCATTTAAAATATTGATACCCGAGATAGATGATACTTCCAAAATTTTGTATGAATATACAACTATTGCAATTTTACTGTATAACTAGATTCAACAATATTGAAATATTCATGTACTAGGAGTAATCTACACTCAATTTGTATAATCGTGTTTTGTTTAATTGAGTGAATCAGGTCGGGCCATTTTACAATTTTAGTTAAGGTCATGGAATTAGGTCATTTGGGCCTTTTCTCCCATGGAAGCTATGACCTAAATATGAGGTGGAAAATGGCCCATGCCATAGACTGTTTAACAGTGCATTGTCATTAGACAAACAAGCAATACCCTCTAACAATTTATTGGAAATTCAGGAGTTCCATTGCCAGAAGTCAATGGGTGCTTTATAAAAATTGCCTGTTGTTTTTAGAACTTTGCAATGTTTCTATCTTAATTCTTCTACTAATCACATATTTTCATTATTTTGGCCTGATACAATAAGAAATTCTAATTCCTTGAAATTCCCATATTTCTACAATTTATTGAACAACAAGACAAGAATGAAAATCAATCCTCGTATTATACAACACAAAATATATTCTTCAAACATCACTTAACATTTCCCTTACTTAAATTAACCTATATAATTAAATAGCACTTTAGTATTCTCAGCTGGGGATTGCACCTTTTTATACATGTATACATAAACATATAATACTCGAAAAACCTATCAGAGAATAGTTAAATTGACGTCATGATTGCCCTTTAATGAGAAATTATCCTAGGGCAATATAGTGGTGTGCTATATACTACATGTACTTAACACTTTCATCAATTCAATACCACATAAATAAAAGAACTATTGGATTGATAAAAAATATGTTTTGAATTTTTTATGACTCCAATCATCATTTAGAATGTTTAATAGTGTTATATGATTGTAAAAGGATGTGATTTCAAAATAAGAATATAACAGCCAAGCAGGGCTTGATTTATGAAAGCTGGTGGGCTTCCACAGCTGTTAATTGTGTGTAATGCTGCTATTGAATCATCCTGATACTAATCAGATCTTTTTGTTTTTCAAACTATCAATATCCCTTCTATAAAGAAATTGATTGAAGGCTATGATCTCTCAAGCTGTATTTGAAATGATTATCATATTTTAATAATATCTTCAGTTAGAAATAAGGATGACAAGGAATGCCATAAAGATGCAATAGACAATTGAAAAGGATTTTGTTATGTAGCTCATCATCTTGGATTGCCAATATATGAAATTTTCACTGAAATCAAAGTGGTAAGCGAGTATGCCTTTACTGACAATCTTTATATACCCTAATGGAAAGTGACAGATTGTTGATGGTGAATACTATGACAATAATTATCTTCTTAATTGATCAAAATCTCAGGTGTTGCACTTATACTTTTAACAGTTATTTCAAAATATAGATAGTTATCATGTTTACGAAGACAATGGTTGAAAATATTGACAGTGTCTTCATAATGCTGTCTATGACAACATAATGATAACAATACCTAATAATATGATCAACAACATGTACATGTATATATGTATTGGTAAACAATCAGATGTCACATGTTGAAGTACTGAGGTCAACAGTTATCTACCCTGAAACAGAATTGTTTAGTGACTCTCCCTCTGATTTTTATGGATGATTCTGTATATATACTGGAAAGATCTTCACAACCTCAAATGTTGCTCTCATGGCTATATATCGCCAAATATCACAATGTCACAATTTTGAGACAATATCTGTATTGGCTAAAATGACAATCATCTCAATAATTTAAGAGTAAAGATGAATAGTAGTAGTTGCAAAGGGTAACAATATTATCAATTGATAGTTTTGATACCAGTTATGCTTTGCTTTTAAATTCAATCAATAACACTGTATATCATTGCAATCCAAAATACAAAAAATTAAGGGGACATCAGTTCATTTAAACTTGTCAAAAGCTTAAAAATAAGCCAATGTGTTTTTATTTTTATAAATGTGCCATTGATATACCCAACTTTAATGAATATGTTGGAACCCATCTTTGCATCTCACATCTGACATCTAATGTTGTTGACCTTATAAGTTATAACCCATGACCTGATTAGCATTCTAAACAAAGAATCATATCAAAAATCTGTGACCTTGATGTGCCCTTGATCTTGACAGAATTGAATTGTAGAAAATAAGACAATATACTTTCCAACTGTCAAAAGACATTAAGAAAAAAAATCACTAAAGATGTCAAAAAGTTTTAAAAATATTGTTATTCGAATGACCCAATAGGTAGGCAGTTAGACCTCCTTGTAAGGTTCGTTTGGAGGACTGCAAATCTTAAAAGCAATTTTCCAATCCATCTATTTTTCATATTCACATACATAACTCAATCCACTAGAAAACCCAATAGGTTCCAGGACTAAGAATGGAGAACTGATTTATGACAAAGAATAATTTGTTGAAGCTTTAAACATTGTAAAACTAATGCTTAAGTAATTGCTGAAATCAAACTGGTAAGAAAGTATGATGGTTAAATGGAAGGAAAATGACCTGTAAAGAAATCTTTAAAATGTATTTTAGATGTTCATAGGGAATGATTTCTACATCATGGAATATGAAGTTACAGAATTAAGTAAGATGCAATAATTGATCAGTATTGTAATACGCACTTACCAAAGTGCAATGATCAATAACAGTCTAAAAAGGCAGACATGTGAACAAGCAAAGAACCTAATATGGTATTGATTCCTAGAAATAAAACCAACTGTGACAATTATATCACTTTATTTGATGATTGGAGGAAAATTAGTTTATTTGATTTGCAATGTTAGTGCTCTCCCTTGAAATGTCTAAAATTGGTAAATATGCTCATATCCAACCAAATAACTCGTATAACTCCTAAACAGTATAACCTGTGCACAGTGAACACTTATGGAGCTACAAAAAGTGTATAGAGAACTCAGTATGTGAGTATGTGATGAGTAGATGTGTTCACTAGACACAGGTTTTCACTAGAGAAATGTGTTAACGAGACAGGTTTTACTCTATTAGCAGGTTGGTAGCATCCTTCTTCAAAGGACTTCATTTATGCTTAAATTCAGGAATTATGAAAAGAAGTGAATTACCCTTGGACTAAGGATGGTTGGTAGATAAGGTAGGTTGATTTTGATGAGGCTGTAAAGCAACAGTTACTTAGACGAGCAACATTAACTGTAACATATATATCACATTGTCTCCTTGGGGAGAGGCCTCTCAGCTCAATGCCAACCCCTTTACATTTAGCTACCAGCATTTTATCCCTCCTATCCCCTTACATAAGTATTGCCTCCACACCCTCCATTTCATTCTTAGGTGTTTCATTAGCAGCAGGCAACAGTTGATTTTCACCAGTTGTTTTCACAAAATCGCCTGTAGTTTTCTAAGGACTTTTCAATGTTAAAAATTTATAATTTCCATTGATTTTGCTTATTGTTTTCATTTTATCCCGTTGTGAGAAATCCTAGTGAAACACCTGATTCTCTTTCTTTCATCTTATTTTCAATCCCAATCAAACTATAAATGAATGAATGATGAGTATATTCACCTCCAGGAAAGTGTGTTTAACGAAAGTTGTAATGAACAGAGATAATGCTGAGTATGTGATAACAGTAAACAATGGTAAGAGTTGGTCAAACAAAATGACATACAATGATAAACAAATATTTATAGTGAGTAAAGAAATATGAGGCCCTGATAGGATTTATTAGCACTGATTAGCGATATAGGGTGAATAGCAATGTTAGGCAAACTGTAGCATGGAATTTCAAATACATACAAACGTATGATAAATGTGTCTATAACAGGGCCAGATCTCGATACTGACAATCATCATCATGTTTTGAACATTTTTTTGCAATATTTTGCCAAATTTTTCTAAAATCCTCATTTTTGCATAAATCTGCAAGATTTTTTCATATATCTATTTATTTTTTCATGAAAAGGTTTATAAAAATTATTGAGTGAATAAGCCCAGGGTATATGGTATGGTAAAATGTGTCAGGCCTTATAATATTAATGGATGAATGCTACGCTTCTAACATGGGATCTATTGAGAATGGTGCTTGTCACCAGTGTGTGCAAAAGTCAAACGTTTCTCTCTAAATCAAGCAGTCAGGGTCTACATGACCTGTAATAAATACTTAGGTGACATTTTTATCAGAAAATATGTGCCATTTAAAAATATTGTGCATGGAAGGTATTCTACCACACTTCCTTGTCAACAAACCGACAAATATGAAAGAACCAACATTTTTAAAATAAATAAATTATGTTGTCCCAGTCCTTACAAGAACCTGTGTTATGGAGAGAAGAGAAAGATGAAACAAAAGGGTGTCAGAAAGATAAACCTTGACAGACAGCAGAGAATTGGAGGACCATCCATCAAAATCAAAAATAAAATGTTAGTCTACAATAATTTCTGCCTCCCCTGAGTATCTGGAATGAATCAAGAAGAACAACAAACTATACCCTGATTCTCTGTAGGTAAACTAGCCTCTCAGATGGACTGAGATGGATGGAAGAATTAAAAGTTTGATACTCTTAAGATCTCTATGATCTCAAATGAATTGAACATTTATGAGTCTGAAAAGTAAATAGAGAGTACTGGCAAAAGAGATAGTGTTGTGATTTTTATTTCCTGGCTGTATTTTTTGATTGAATACAGGCTAGAATTATCTAATTCAAAGAGTTGTGTTCTTGAGAAAGGGTAAATGATCCGCTGTATAATTATTAAACCTCATCTGTTTTGTATTAGTATCAGACCCTAGACTCCAATGTAGCAATATATAATTACATGTAGATTGAATATGAAATAAGAGAGGATGTATCTTAAATGTTAACTCCTGAAATAGAACAAAGTGTGAAACATGATACACCACGCTTCATTATCCTGCTAAACAACAGAGAATACCTTGTTTCTATTAACAGTCCATCTAAATATGAATATAATTTAACATATGTTGAGATAATTTTGTACTTACAATAAATGTACATAAATGTTGTATAATATGATATAAATTGTGGGAATCATCAAAGTCTATGTTTATATGTAATTGAATTAAATGGAAATAAAGAAAAAATGTCTATGACAGTACAGATTAGGTAAAAATAAAGCCTACGGTGTATTTCGATTAATAATTTAAAAGACTAAGTATAGTATCATATAGAAAAATAAATTCATAATTTACATGCAAAATTTTGCATATTTCAGATAAATTACATGTAGTTTTATGTGCAATAAAGTGTCCTGTAGCCTCTTATGAGTTTCAGCTATGTTAAATATTTTGATGTCAGAGAAGCATCAAAGTACAAGAAGCCACACATTTTATCAACCAAACCACAAGCAATCCAAGATAATACAAATGTTTTGCGTTTAAAATATGAACAGTTCTTTTTCCATATGGATACTGCACCATGGTCTTTTCATTGCTTTTTTAGATTTTACTTGATGTGTCAGTGATTAGTGATAAAAAGCACAAGAGACTTATCTAGCAGCATAAAAGTGCTTAATGGATAGAAAGAGAGAACTTGATGCCCAACGTAAATGTAATTGTGATTTACTTATTCTGAGAAAGCATTGAAATGAAATGGCCGAAATGCTAAATTATTTTTTAAAGACTGAGAGCTGGCTACGCCCCTGTTCTTCATTAACTATTCTTCAATGATAGAATCAAGGCTACAGCTAAGGAACTAAGAGCAACTGGTTGAAATGTCATTGCACACATAGGCCATGATTACACACGATTTGCAATATTATTGTCCTATATCACTATATGGATAATTACTCGTTTTCACTTGTATTTTTGTGACTGAAATTCCCTACAAAATTTCCGTATTCATCACCCTAATTTCCTGATTTTGAGAGAATATGTTTTGAGAAACAATAAAAGGTCAGTGAAACAAATAATAGAGCCCAATAGAAGGAGTGACAAGTTACAACAGAAGTTGATTTTGAACTGTGAAGTGCATACATAAACATTGAGTGAAATTCTACATTTCCACCAAGCTTAGATAAGTCTATATCCAAATTTCAGACTAGAGGATGAAAACATCAGCTTGACCGTAAAGTAATCGACCATGCAGTGACCTGGCCCCCAGGACCAGTCCTTATCTCTGGCTGGTAAAGTATAATAACTTAGACGATGACTAGTATGTAAATGCATTAGACTTGCCTCAAAAGTCTACATTAGAATATATGAGACATGAAACTTGATATGTCAGACTGAGATTTGACAGACTCACACTCAGTGAAAATTTTTGTCAGGAAATTCCATTGGTTTCAACAAGTGTTTTTCCTTATAGTTGAAACGCCATATACGGCTATACATGCAATTCAGATAAAGAATAATACTTACAATTGATATCATATGGTCGATAAGGTTGTTAAATCCATTAGTTTGTACTTTTATCACATTTTATTATGAAAAAGTTTACACCTCCAAAAATAAAATTTTCAGGGGAGCTCTTCAAAATCTGGACACATTCCAAGACAGTATAAAATTTATACACAAATTTTGAAACTACTTTATAGTTATTGAAAACTAATAATATTCATACCAATATGCATAAAATAATAGTTACACCTAATAAATGCCATAATATTCAACCAAAACTCTGCAAAACATAAATCGTATTTGGAATGTGTTCAAATGAAGAGCTCTGTAAGCGGATGAATATAAAATAGTTCTGTAACAAGTTTTCTACGTTTTATTATTTTGTTCCAGTCTCTAAATCTAAACAAGAACAAAGGAACAACTAGAATGGTATTTTCAATTTAATTTGATACATTTTAATCAAAAATTATTCCCTTTGAATGATTTAGAACTATTTTATAAGTGTCGTTATATGACAGGTACTTGTTAGTGATTCGCCCATAAACAAATTGGTTGGTATGAATTTTAAAACTTTTCAAGAAGTGATTTGTAATCAAGTAAGCGATTGTAAAACAATAATAACACAAGAAACCTTTAGATAACTACTTCAGGTTCTAAAATGACAAATGAGATTGATCAACAGCTCTTCTGGAACGTATAGAAAACAAGTACAAAATTTCAAATTGTACCACACTCAGTCTCAATAAACCATGGAGATAGAAAATGGAGTTGAAAGTCAGCATCAGTACTCAGTTCCAAAGTCTGTAAAAACTGTTGACTCACACATCTTTGGACCACAAGTTATAGAAGATGCAGACCCAGAGCTTATGCAAGATTCTGACATCCCTGATCACATTGAAGTCACCCAGGACGGACAGATTCGATATGTTCAGAATGGAGGCATGCCCACATTGGGGCGCCCAAGACAGGATCATGAGGTAAACATTTTTCTGTTTTGGCAGTGTTTTACCATTTAACAAAATATTAATTTTAACATAAAATCATATACAATCAAAAATTAAAGTAAGACTTAATAATTTGTTAGATTGGGTAGCAATATTGTTCTACTAACTGACAGAGCCTCTTTAAATGTACCAAAAAAGCATGACTCAATCTGTACGTGATATTATTGAATGTTATAGTATAGTGTATATGAAATTTTTATATACCATACATTAAATGCATTAATTTGTTCTTTATAGCCACTTCCATTTCTGAGTGTAGACATGATGAATTCTGAGATTCTCAAACCAACTTCTGGAGGTAAACAAACTTTTTATCAATGAATAATTTTGATGATTGTGATAACAGCCTGTTTTTCTTTTCTTTGTCACATTTGAATATATATATATACAATTTGAAACTCTGTGTATATTAAAACTATAGGATCCATATTCTGAAGTTTGTAATCTTAAATTTCAACAATAGATCTCAATGTCCTGAAATACCATCTCTACTATCTCGTTATTACCCTAATATACTTATAATAGGAGAATGTAAAATTGATGCTGGTTCATGTGAAGAATTATGACTGATAATATGCCCTTCTACTGTATATTTGACTTTTCAGAACATGTATCAAGGGTGTCTAAATCACAAGGCCAGATAGGCATGAATACCAGACAAAGCTCTCCTGGTGCCAAGTCTTCCATTATGAATAGAAGGTAAGGATCTGCTTAAATACTTATGTGCTGTTTTTTATGTGCTTAAATCTTTATGACATTGCCACAAGCGGTAACATATTGTTATAGTCCCCAACTTCTTAAGGATGGTGTCCGACATTTGGCATTTGGTGGTCGGTGTTTGGCATCTGTAACAAATAGCAGGTGGTGACATTTTGCATGTTAATGCCTTCTTGATAAAAAGGCGCTTTCATGATACTACGTACTCTTGTGTATATATGAATTTTTAAAATTGTATTATTTCAGGACTCCATTTAAAGACCCCAGATCTGAGAGTCCACTACGTAGTCCCAGTAGAAGTCCTACACGATTCAGTAAATATGTCAGCCCAAATTCACAGCCAAAGAAACCCAATGTTCACATCAAGAATCCTTTCAAGCATGACATTAGAACACCCAAACTGAGGCCTTTGGTAAGTTTGCTCTGGTGTTAACATTAATCATACATGTACATGTACAGGGTGCTCAAAAAATGGGACCCTCCTATCAAAAATAAATATTGATTTTATTAATGAAAATATATCCAGTGGATAGGGAATTTAATTATCTTTAATTTGGGTTGGGTCTGATGTTAATTTGGTTTGACATTGATTTAATATGGTTCTGATGGGAGTTGACTTGTAGAGATACATCAATCATTCAGTCAGACTCATTGCAAAAGTGTTCTACATGTGTTCTACTTGCAGTGGTTTTCTACTTGATGTTTTTTATTGTACATATTCATTATTTATATAACAGGATGAGTGCCCTGTCACCCCTAGTCAAGACCTTAAAGAGATGACAGCACTGGCAATGTTTCATATGCAGCGCAACATGAATAATCCACGCACAGCTACTGCAAAATCACGACGCTCCACTCGTACTCGCTCTAGGATGTCTCAAAAACATATAGAAGTTGAACAGGAAAAACCCAAGCACACTAACAGGCTATTAAAAGCCAAGTGAGGATTATTATTACTTTAGTCAGTTTGAATTTGTAATTAATGTGTCTTCTGTATTTGTTATACCCAAATATATATGAATGCTTCATAGCTACATCACCTTTTTGCTTGTGTCTCAAAATGATCTTATAAGCTTGAAAGTTTCAGTTGAATGTTAACTATCTTTATTATATTTTTAGGTTAAGGCCCCTATATCCAGTAAAACTAGATGGGCCAGCTATTCACAGATGCAAGGGAATTGTTGTTAGTAAGTAAAATTGATTGTTTTTTCTGCATATATATTTAATTAGTACTGTATATTAATATTAAGTGAATTGATTGCAGGAACTTGACATTGAAGATATGAGCCAAAATGATAACAAAACAGAAACAATTTATTAATTCTGTGTACATGTATACTATAGTAAAAAATTAAAACATCATACAAAAGCAGTTTGGTCCGAAGTACATTATTTATAGATCATACATAAGTCAAATTTAGGTTTTTCTCATAACAAAATGAGCATTGTCATATATACTATTGTTTATTTTAGATCATGAAGTTTATGAACCACCTCCAAACAGATCTCTGCTAAGGAGGAGACAGTTGCTTAGCAACCCCATGCTGCCGCTCAGTTACTCTCCTGATATGACTGAGCAGCTTAACCGACCTGCAACACGTGAATCAATTCACAGGACATCTCCAGATATCACACTAGAGGAACAGCCTCTTGAACTTTCGGCTCATGAAATAATGGAAAACAGGTTTGTATGTTCTAGCATCAATGGAGTGCAATATAAAACCCATAGGCTTTGGGAAAATTAGAAGTTTGCTAGAAGTCTATAGAAAAGCCTCTTTTTATACTAGCTTACTTCTACTTTTCCCTACACCTATGATTGAAGCTAAATGAAATCAATTCTATATATTTTTCACAGCTATAGTATCTCAGTGAGGCCACATTTGACTCAACCACACATCTCCCTAAGATGTGAATGCTTTTGATTTTATCCTCCCAATGCATTTGCTATAATGTATTTTTAGCTGGAGAGTCCCCAAACTGTCAATTTTGTATTGTTTTAACTTGACTTATACATGTACAGTAAAAGTACAATATACACATTTTCATTTTACAAAAAATTATCTCTGTTGTGTGAAATATCATTGATAAATGTAGACTAAAAATGTATTTTGAGAAAACATTTGAACGGCCTCTAATCCATGGGCTTTCAATTAGAGTTGAAAGCCTGTGAGTTATCTCATGTATCTCTTATTTCATAAACATGTACATCTCATGATTTGCACTGTTGCTTTCAGTATGAAAAACATTGAAATGATTGAGCCGTCTGTGGAATATGATGACGTGCCAACCTCCGGCGACATCAATACTGCTGGCCTGCCATCTATTGAGGATCGTTTGGATGTGCTGCCACCTATTTCCCAGAATCAACCAATCACACCTCTGAATAGTGTTGTTAGCATGGCCGACCCTGCTGGTACGCTGACCATTTTTGATTAATTTATAATTCCTCATTTGTCAAAATATTGATAACGGCCATTGATTTTGCATATTAATTTGCTGCTTAAGGTGAAACATAACACTATTCTTCTTTACAACACCTGAATATGCCACCTCTTAAACATTTCAAAAATACTCCTAATAAAATAAATGTTCACTGCAAAGTACCTGAACTCTTTTCTTCATTTTTTGCAGTTGTCCTTCCAGCAGAAAGTCCCCTGCAGGCTAAACATTCATCCATTCAAGAAAAACCAGCTGAAAGTTCAGATAACCCTGGAGTCTGTAAAGAACGTGAACATGTAGCTAAAGACAATAACAATACAGATGTAATTACGAAAGATGCTATAGAGACATCTGAGATGGAAAAAGATACTCAACTTAAAACTGGGGAAAATCAGAATGATGAAATTAGTGGGTCTACCAATGAACCCATGATTGCTGATTCAAGGATAAGGGGCACAACTTTTATTACTGACCAGGCCTCCAGTACAGGAACCAGTCAGGAGTCAAGGCCAGTCACTGGTCAGGGCTCAAGGCCAATCACTGGTCAAGCGTCAAGGCCTGCCACAGGTCAAGGGTCAAGGCCAGTTAAAGGTCAGGAGTCAAGGCCCACCACAAGCCAAAATTCAATGCCAAACACAGGCCAGGTTATAGATACAGTAGCAAATCAAAACGAAGGTCAAACTACAAGACCAGCCACAGGTCAAGGGTCAAGACCAACTACGAGTCAGGGATCACGGACAGCCAATGGGCAACAGCCAAAAACTGATCATGGACCAAAACCTATTGAAAATAGGTCAAGGCCACCCACAGGTCAAGGTTCAAGATCTGGAACGAGTCAAAGTCAAACACCTGCAGTCACAGGTCAAAATTCAAGGCCTCCAACTGGAAGTCGCTCAAGGACAGATCCTAGATATCTCATTGGTCAAGGTTCAAGACCTGGGACAGGTCAAGGTTCAAGGTCAAGGACAGCACATAGCCAAAGGCCAGAATCGAATAATGAGTCATTGCCAAACTACAACAAAGATCAAGATGCAATTGAGGAAGGAATGGATACAGAACGACAGAAGAGTTCAGCAGAAGGTCAAGTTTCAGTCACTCCCAATATTAGCTTAAATTCTGATGACCTAACACTAAGCCCAAGTATTGCTTCAAGAGGACAGCATTCAAGGTCAAGTTCAAGGCCAAATACAGGTCAAACACCAGCTGCAACACAACAAGATGAAATAGTGCCTTTAGGTACTCATACTGTTGAGCCTGGGAAAGAAATAGCTCATGGTACAAAACCGTCTTCAATAAAAGGAACCCCAGCAGTGGACCCAAGTGTTTATGATGCATACTCAAGATCCAGAAAGCCCCCAACTGGCAATGTTAAAACTAACAAGAAGGCTGTGCCAAAATCAGAGGTACCTCAAAGACCAAGGGAGAAAAAGCCTTTATCACCAGCACCAGCAGATCGAAGATGTAATTCTGGGGGAATTTTGAGAACTGCTCCAAATCATCCAGATTTCTTACGGAAAACAAACTCTGCTGGGAATTTACGTAAAAATCAAGAATCAACGCAAAATACTGAAGAAGCTTTACATGATGAAGATGATGTAACTATTGATTTATCAAAGATGGATATGAATGTTACTAAGACAGTACGATTTGCTGAAGATGGTTACCGAAGCAACTCTGCTCTTGCGCAAGAAACACCAAGAGTTGACATGGAAACTAGAGTGAAATCAGCTCCTGCAATTGCAGTCAGATCTAAAAGTCAAACTGTGGCAACTGATAAGAAGAAAACACTTGAAAATAGGACTAAAAATGAAGGATGTAAACCTGAAGAACTTGATGAAAATAAAGATGACTTTGATGATGATAATGATGATTACCAAGGAACATTAAGCAATAGAAATAGTTCTATTACAAGTGTCACAGTGTCAAGTATGACAAGCACATCTTCCGAGAAAAAGGCTCCACAAAGTTCAAACAATAATGGAAAGCAAGCAAAACTCCAGTCCACACCAGAAGGACAGTCCCATAATGCATTGCAAAAGCAGACAGACGAATCTTCCAATTATGTGCCAAAGATTACCCCTCCAGAACAGACAATATATTGTACATTTTGTGGTTTAGAGCCCTATAGATGCGTATGTAAATATCATGATGATAATTTGGAAAGCCAATCTGATAGTGAAGTGCCTATAAACACATTTGACGACCTTGAAAAATCTATATTTGCCACAAGATCTAGCATTCAAAGATGTATAAGCCTTGAGGCTTTAACAAATGATGACAGTGAAATAGAATCAATAATGATCACCCCAAGGGAAGATACAAATGCAACATTTATAACTGATATAACATTTTCGGAAACTAAACATGACATGGATACAAATACTATGGATGTAAAGCGAAGTGCAAGCCCTACTGAAAACATGTCTGCTCAATATAATGACATATTGGAGTCATATCGTCGGAAGTGTATCAATGATGAAACAATAAATGGAAGTTTTAGTTCACGTTTGATTACACCACGACATACATCAAAAACTAAGATGGAAAGACCCAAAAGTGGACATTCTCAATCTACTAAGGGAATGAATAAGGGTCCTAACAGCCAATCAAAATTCACTCGACCATTTTCTGCAGGACAATATAGTGATAGTGGATGTGAAAGTGAGGTTATGACTGATGAGCTTATGTCTGTTGCGGTGATTGAACCGGAGAAAACAGTACCTTCTGAATCGTTACTGCAGATTGTTTGTAATGAATTACCACCAGTCGATAATAGTAAAAAGGTACTGTAGCATGCTTAAGTATATTTGAACATTTTATTGCAGACTTTTGTTTACTGTTTGTTGTAAAGTTTTCCTAGTTAGTGAATGACTGTGCTAGCATCTCAAAATATCTTTATTTGTGATTGACTTTAAATTTGAAAAACTATTTAGCATACATGTATTTTAAAATAATAACCATTAATCCTGTAATTTATGTGATCATAGAAGGAACAAATAATTTTGAAACATTATCCATATGTGTATTTCTCTTTGCATGTATGAACATTTTTTCTTTTAATCTCCAATAAAAATCCAGTACAATGTGATACTAGCTAGATATGGAAAAAAAATATTGATTTTTATTTCCATTTCAGGATATTGAAGCGAATAAATCTAAACAACCTCAAAGGGGAAGGTAAGCGATGCATTATCCTATTGTTATTATAAAATATTGTTTTTGTAATGATCGGGGATTACTCTGGGCCCAGTTGTTTAAATTTCTGAACACTCATATAATAGACAATGTATTAAAAATATGGTAATTTTTTTTATTATTGAATGAATCTTTGACATCATATCAGTTTTCCCTTTCATTGTTTTTTATAGATTTTATTTGTAAACCAATGTAATCTTTTAAAAGATATTAATTATTATTCCAATTTAAACTGGTTGCTTATTTTTCAATTAATCAATAATGATGTCGAACAACTGGGCCCTGATGCCAAGGCTCTGTAATATTGCATGTTTCTAAGGATAATTTTCTATAGAGACAGCTTAAGTATTATATTGAATGATGTGATAATGCACACTTTGGTCATAATTACTAAACAGAGATTTGCCAATATTATTAAGCAAATACACGGATGGATTGGGATCTTTTATTTACCAATTAGGGATGTTGCATTGTAAAACATTCTAATATTGCATTGTAAAATTGACATTTATGCAAAAATATGAGTCGTCTTCAAGAGTATATTAACAGGAAAAGACGAACTCAAAGAAATATGGAATTTTGCAGGTCTGGTAGTGATGTTACAGATCTGAAGGTGGTTGCTAATCCAACAAAGCTAATATCAAGGTATGTTAATGTTACAAGTAAGAGTAAATACTTCAAATGAAATCTTACATTGGTAAAATTGACCAATGCAATGATGGAGCACTTCAATGTTAAAGCTTTTATTATCATTTTATTAGTTTTTTTTATGTCACCACCATAAGTTATAGTCTCAAACTTTTTTGTGGATGGTGGTTGGTCTTTGGTGTCTGTAACAAATGATGATTTTTGCATGTTCATGCCTTGTTACATTTATCTTTATTATAACTCACTTTATTTTACTGCTTTGGTTATACTACAGCTACTGTAGAACTGAAATTCTTGAAAGAGACTGAATTCATGAACATGCAACCAAATAACTTCCAAAAATATAAAATAGATTCAAGAAATGAATGGATTTTCTTTTCCCAGAGTATTTGCATGTGAGGTAGGGGGCCTGATTAAATGAGCAAAAGTAGTATTTATTTTTAATATGCCCCTTTAAGAGTTGCAAGTCAATATAAATCTGAAAATAAATATTTTGTTCATTTCATTTTATTACAGGCAAGACCCAGAGCCAGGACCTATAGCGCCTTACCCCCCTCTGTGCTTCAAGATCAATGCCAGGCCTCCACCTAACTACATATACTACTTTGCATATGGGTCAGATATGAACCCACATAGGTGAGCGATTTTTATTCCTAGCAAGCTTGTTGTTTTATATGTATTTTTACATATTGTAACAACTAAAGAAATCTAAATCGTTTGTCGAATCAATCAAAATCATGATGTCATAAGAGAATTATGTAGTTTATTCCTTTTATTGACACATCATATGATTACATAATTAACATTTGTTTACATTTTATATGTTTATAATGTTATTATTAACATTGATACACTTGTTCTAATATAATAACAGATGTGTTAAAGTAATTTTATTGAATGCTTGCATATTGAATAACAAAAGTAAGAAAACTGATTACATTCAGTCAAAATATCACAAAACATTGTAATCACAAATAATATTTTATTCAAAATGAAGAAAAAGAAACCCCAAATTGTACAAAATGTGCTGATAATGTCCTAGATGAAGCATAGGTTTGCATTGTGTACTTCTACAACTAAGTACATAACCTTTTTGGGGTATTATAAAACAAGATATCATGTACAGTATGCTATGTCAGAATATGAAATTAAATTATAGACACATAGGTTAATTATTTTTAAACATGATGTTGAAATAGATTTAAACTATGTAATGATAATAAACATATTTGTATCATTTTTACTGGGTATAATTGAGCCTGGCCATAGGAAAATCGGTCTTATCACGAAAATTAAAATTGTGCTACAGAGCCAAAAATGTGCCCAAGATTAAGAGAAAAATGTGCTAAATTAAAATCCGACCTTTTGGTCTATATATGCAAGGAAAAATCGTTAAGTCATAAGTCATGGCTCATTTGAAAGGTCTTTTTGTGCTTTTTAAGATAAACAAAATAACAAAATATTGAAAAATCTGTGATAAGACCCCTTTTCCTGTGGCCTGGCTCAATTATTAAAATATATCTGGTATCTGATGCAAAAAAAGAATTTTAAGTGTAAAAATGATTTTTGTCATAACTACTCAGGACACATCAAAACAAAACTATATTTACATCCACTAAAATAGTACATACAATTCAAAGACATGCACATGTACTCATTTTAATGCATTTTTAATGTTATGGATATAATTATTAAAATATCTGATACAAAAAGAATTTTAACTGTAAAAATGACTACATTTGTCATAACTACTCATCAAAACTAAACTACATTTACATCTACTAAAAATACACATAATTCAAAAAGCATGTACAGATTTTACTGCATTTTTAATGTTATGTACTTGAACGCATTTTTAGATTCTAGTGAGTTTTACATTCTATTTTCATCAATTTCATAATTTCAAGTTGGCTGTCTTGTTCACTCCCCTTCTTGTATATTCAACTAGGTATTGTTCACTTTGTAAAAATAGAAATCCAGGCACATGAAATGATTGTAGATTTAGAGGGAGAATGTACACCTTTGCAACAGTCATCTAAAAACTTGATGGATGTCAAAATGGCCTGCCTACTTGCAGTTGAAATCCTTTCTTTTATAAAATTTTGCCATGTGTGAAAAGGATTGTTTGATCCTTCCTAAAACCTCGACCTTTCGTCTTGGTTTAAGGAAAGAGCAATCGTCTTGAGATACAATTTACAAACAAAGCAAGTGCTTAAACCTAATTCAACTGTGAAAATTATGTATTAGATACTTAAATTCTTTGATACCTTGTGTATTTGAAATGCTTGAACCATGTAATGCAGCCTGTTTTTATGAAGTCATAGGGGTATATGCACCAACATATTCCCTGTTCTCTGGTCAATATATTCCTTAAATTGACTGACAGTTACTAATGAAAAAAGAGTAACCCTAAAACAGATGTTAACACAATTTTGTTAAGCTGTTATTCACTACTACAGGGTGGGCCAAAAAAACGCTACTTTTTTTCAAAATGCTTTAACTTTTTTTAATTTTTGATACAAAATCATAATTTGCATACAAAATGAAACTTGAGGTTGTTATCTAGCCATGGATCATGAATTATACACTTTTACTAGAATAAAATATGTCACCAGCATCTCACTTAAACATGTGGTGTGCCATGAGAAATAAGCATAATTTGCAAAATGTTCCTAAACTTATACGCTCTGATGACCGCCAAGCTAATAGCCCTGATGCAAACCCCAGTGAGTATAGGGTATGGGGAGGTCTCCAGGAGATGGTATGAAGGCACCCAATCCCAAAAATTTCTCAACTAAAGCTGGCAATTAAGACAAGTTGAAAAAAATATAGCTAACATTTCATTGATACTGCTATATCAGCAAGGCGACTAAAACTAAAAACTATCATCAAATAGGGTGGCGGACCAATTGAACTCCTCTTTTAGATCAAATATAATCCCAGTTGAAGGTCTTGTTACATTATATTATTATTAAGAACCCTTGGCACTATATAACTGCAAAACTTGGGGTATGTAAGTTGGAAAATAAAAAAGTTATAGTGTCTTGAAAAAAGTGGCATTTTTTTGGCCCACCCTGTATAAACTTGGGCAATCATTATTGTTATTGATTCTCATGGAAGAATGCAAGAAGCATCCATGAAGTGCAACTGGAAATACTTGGTTAAAAAGATTTACCATATAGTCAAATTGATAACAGGGTAAGCAATTGACCTTATTACAGTGATTTATGTGTTACCGTATATTAAATGAATAGATGTACACAATTGTCTAAAATGGCTTTAAATACAATAACAAGAATATGTACATGAAAAGATCAACTTGCAGAAAGTAATTGCATCATGTATACAACAAGCATTTTGCCATCATTTATATTTGCAGTTCACAAGGCTTCACAATACACCCTATGCAGACAGAGCCTGTGGAAAATATTGGGTGCGGCGCAAATGAGCGGAGGGTGCGGAGCTAACGGTCATTTTTGAATTTAAAATTGGGATATTTCTGAAACTAAGCCGTTTTGGGACTTCAAATATACCAAGATATGTGTATTTGACACCAAATATCAATAAAATTGTGAAAATAGTAGTGCAATTCATTTTATAGCGACGCAGTATGCCTTAAACATTTCCCAGACCTATATATTTTGAGACTATCCTTTTAATACTGCGTCCCCAGCATTCATAAAAAATGGTGTTCAAGATACACTACCCATGCAAATTATTTTTGCATCTTGGAAGCCAGGCAGTATCTGTGTGATTTTATAAAAATTCGGAAATGTTCTTCAGATATGAGCCCCTCTAAATATTGGGTGCGGAGCTACGTTTATGGAGCTGCTCCGCACCCAATATTTAGAGGGGGCTCATATCTGAAAAAATTTCCGAATTTTTATAAAATCACACAGATACTGCCTGGCTTCCAAGATGCAAAAATAATTTGTATAGATAGTGCACCTTGAACACCATTTTTTATGAATGCTGGGGACTCAGTATTAAAAGGATAATTTCAAAATATATAGGTCTGGGAAAGGTTTAAGGCACACTGCGTCGCTATAGAATGAATTGCGCTACTATTTTCACAATTGTATTGATATTTGGTGTCAAATACACATATCTTGGTATATTTGAAGTCCCAAAACGGCTTAGTTTCAGAAATATCCCAAATTTAAATTCAAAAATAACCGTTAGCTCCGCACCCTCCGCTCATTTGCTCCGCACCCAATATTTCCCACAGGCTCTGTCTGCATAGGGTGCAATAGCTCAAAGCAATTAATTATGTAACATTCAAGAAGAGACAACAAAATTCTTTGAAACATCTTTACATATTTGACACTAATAGAAAGCACAAGTGTTGGCATCGTTGGTGAACCTGAACTGAGCACTAATACATAATATGGAAGCAGCTGGTATCAAATAAGAATTTAAAATATTTTATTCTGCCACCCTTCATAAGTTAATGCCCCTCTCTTTTTGCTGTTCATGATCAGCAGTAAATGTACAGTGCCTTGGTCTTGGTTCCAAATTACTGATAAAAAAGCAGGGACGTAGCCAGCTTTCAGTCAGGGGGAGGGGTGGGATCACCAAAAATGTTTCAGTTTTCAGTCAGGGGGAGGGGGTGCGATCGTGGCATAAGCGAGCCAAAAAAATTCAATATTTGTTTTGAATTTCACAAAATTTGATGCAACTTCCTTTAAAATTGAGCTAGAAGCTTCAAATAAAAAGCATTTTATAGCTCTTTTCTTCTATCTACTGGTTATATTTTTATTGGTTATGGGGTGGGGGGGTGCGATCGCACCTAAAGCACACATTTATTTGAACTCTATTGCTACAGTTATCCAAGTTTTGAAAAGCAGAATTCAATCTTCGTCAATAGCATGGTCAGAAATGGATGGCTTTGATCCCCATAAAGATGCTTACTCATAGATAAACTTTGCTCATAATAGAGAATAGCTTGCTGGTATTGACCAATGCTTGCATGATCACTACCAAGTTCATAGAACGTTTTTGCTATATCCTGATGTGCTTGATTTCTGTGTATCAGTTTAAACATGGCCAAGCTTTTCTCGTGGTAACTGATTGCTTTTTCGTGTCGACCTTCTTTACTGTAACTCATACCAATATTTTGTAGTGACAATCCAATGCTTCGATGAGGTTTGTTTTTATACACCAGTTCTTTTATAGCCAAAGCTTTCTCATGATATTTAATGGCCTTGGTAAATTCACCTTTACCATGATAAACAGTACCAATTTCACCTAAAGATACTGCTATATCCGGATGTGGCTGATCTTTGTATATCTTTTTCAATATCTTTAGACTCTGCTTACGATATGAAATACCAACGTCATATTGTTTTTTCCTTATGTATGCACTACCAATGTTGCCAAGTGATGATGCTATGTCTGGATGCTCTAGATTCTCATGTATAAGTTTCCTCATAGCTAGACTCTGCTCAAGGTATTCAATACCCTTGTCGTATTCACCTTTGTAGAGGCAAGTAGTGCCAATGTTACCTAGTGAGGTTGCTATCTTGAGGTTTGGTTGATCATGATAAATCTGTTTTAACATTTTCAAATTTCTTTCTTGATATTGACTAGCCTTTTCATATTGGCTTTTACCAACATAAGCTGAAGCAATGTTTTCA